GGAATATGGCGAGACTGCAGTGGAAATCTCCCAATGCCAAATAAGAGTTAAAATTAATTATGATTTAGGACTTCTCCTAAAAAAAGAGAGGAGAGAGAGGGATTAAAGCACAGCTTTAAATCTCTACTAATTTTATTCTAAGCTTTTTGTAATTTTAATTTTTAGACTTAGAAGGCAGAAAGAAGAGGATAAGAGTTGCCAATGAAGTTGTAGATCACAGAAGAATTAATGAAAGTATGAGCGCTGCATGGGAAAGAAGAAAGACTGTTTTTGTGACAAAGCTTTGACCAGTTTGAAAGGTATGACGTGAGTATGTTCAGTTACAACTGATGTCATTTTCCTAACCACAGCCACCACGCATGTGTGTGCTACATGGTAGATAAGGGATTTGCGTAAGGAGCAGGAAGAGTTTACACATGCAAAAGGTTCACTGAATTTGCGTTTTATGTTTTCAGCAGAACCGTGAAACAAAGAATCGGGAGCTTTTTGGGTAAATTACCTCTGGGGCAAGATGAAAACCAACTAGCAAAATCCAGAGTTTGCCAGTCGCTTTAGTGCTGAAGGAGCTAGGCTGTTGCCTGTAGACAACCAAGGGGACCATGGGCAATGTCCAAGCGGACTGTCTTGGTCTGCTGCATTAGCAAGATTTGACAGCATAGCTCGTGGACAAAGCGATGGAATTTGCTTACCCTCCAACTCGTTTCTGGGAACCAACAGCACTTTGGGGTTCCCTGGGCCCGCTGGCTGAGCTGACAGGCAGAAGCCCCAGGAAGGGGAACCGCTGGTCAACCATGTCAGCTAATGCCTGCCAGACGTACGGCAGTTGCGAGACCAGCCGATGAGGTTGCCGTGCTGCTGACCCACGCACCAGCAGTGGTCACGCAGGCAGGAAAACAGGCTCAGATTTTGATTTCTCCATATTCCTGGCTGTTTCTGGCATGTCTGACATACTGACAATTCTGCTGACTTCTACGGGAGATGCCGAAGCTCTGCTCTGTACTAAAGCAGGTAGTATGTGCTTGAAGATATGTTTGCAAAACTCAGCTTCCTTTAAAACACACTCCTTTCAGAGACTTCTGGCATTCATCTCTAGTGGCCAAAAGCATCTTTGCCAGGGCATAGCTAACACTAGATTTCCGCAGCCCCTACTCATACGCGCTAATTAAAACACAAAAGAGAAACTTCAGCTCTTTCAGAGGGCAGATTGCTTTAGAAACTGAGCTGGACCACCTTCCTAGCAAGCATTTTCTTGCCATGTTTTCCATAAGCCTAATTTCATAAATTGTGATTGCTAGTACAGCAAAAAAACCCATAAAAATCCTGAATCCACAGCTGTATGCTAAAGTAGTCACTAGATGTAAGTGTAACTAAGTAGAATCACAGAATCATAGAATGGGTTGGGCTGGAAGGGACCTTTAAAGGTCATCTAGTCCAACCCCCCGGCCGTGGGCAGGGTCATCTTCAACTAGATCAGGTTGCTCAGAGCCCCGTCCAACCTGACCTTGAATGTTTCCAGGAATGGGGCATCTACCACCTCTCTGGGAAACCTGTTCTAGTGTTTCACCACCTCCATTGTAAAAAATTTCTTCCTTATATCTAGTCTGAATCTTTTAGGTTAAAATCATTAGCCCTTGTCCTATTGCTACAGGCCCTATTAAAAACTCTGTCCCCAGTACTCAGCTATTGCTGTCAAAAATGGCAATCAGCGAGTGTGGATGTTAAGCTTACAAAACAGCAAAATCGGTATAGCAGAGTAGGAGTATATTTCCTGAATTGCTTGAAAAATGCTCTCTTTTTAAAAGGTGTTTATTTCACCTGGGGGAGCAGCCCTTACTTTACTTTTTGCAAAATCAGAATGTTTCACCTCTTGTAAATGCAGATTTCTTTCAAGACTGTTCAAGGCAAAGGCATCACAAAGTCAGCGAGTGGAACACTAACAGCAGTCTGGCAATGGAAACACCAACCCACTGCGCTCTTCAACACCACTTGGAAAAGGGGCTTCAGCTGGGGGTTCACGTTCAACTACCTGCACTACATTCTTCAGCTATCTGATAGTCACGGAGACCACATCCTCCCTTCCCTTTCTCCCATTCCCAGTCCCTCCTTATCTGACAAGGCTATTGTAAGGTGGCAAAGGACATTCCTCTGGATAAAAAGGCAACATACTGAGTGGAACCTCTTCTTGCCCATTTTCTCCCTGCTCTATCACAAGTCCATTGCTAACGTACCCTTCTGCAATAGGTCAGGGTCTTTCAGCAATTTTTGTTGCAACAGATGGCTTGTGTGCACACACGTGGATGCGAGCCAGCCAGCTGTGTAGCATCGTTGGGAGCAGGCCAGCCTCGTGCAACATTGCAGATGCACGAGGGAAAAAATAAGCCGATCCTCAGTTACCATTTGTTGCATTTTGAGTCCTTCTGAGAAGTTGGCATAGTCTGGTAAACTGCCTTGCCAGAATGGCGTGATTAGACAGTCATGAAGAGCTCAAGCCTCTGTCCACCAAGCAGAAAAATATGCCTGATCTTATTTAAGTAGTTCACCATGAGCTTCCTTCCATACTTTTTTTTTCCTCCTCTTCTGAAACATAGCTCTTCAAATTTCTTTCCCTTTAGGCTGTACAGAGAGGTTAACATCACTGCTGTGAGAATAAATTAGTGTTCCATTTGTGCAAACCAGAGTCATAACAAAAATACTAGACACATTTTATGTTCTTTATATACAGCCTACATTCTGGAAAAGTGTGATCCACAGGTCTGCAGTAAAATTACCATACCTTAGCAGTAGGCCAACAGAGTTTGAAAATATTTTTGTCTGCCTTTTGCCCTAAAGACCCATCAGTTAACGTTCAGACAGTCAGAGTTAGAGAAGACCAGTGGAACATCTGTGTTGGTCAGAGGGAAATCTCTGGTCTGAGAACCACATGCAGCCTGCAAGTTTATTCCACACAGTCCTGTTATTACTCAGTGGCATTAAGGGCTCTTCACAAATGTGCTTAAAAACCTACAAATTCTTTCCATAAGAAAAATCCCGGTATCTCTGTTCCAAAATTTTGTTTGGGCTGCAGCTAGAAATCCTCAGAGAGGCCTTCTTGAACATCCGTTTAAGATCACTCTGCAACCCAATGCATGGCTCGCTCTCAGGAATTTCTGTTGATAGTCTAAATCTTACGTGAAGAGAGGGACTTCTCGTATCACCTGTGCTGCACAAGGTCCTCTGAGGCCAAGTGCAGAAACTGGCTCTGAGAGGTTGCTGTCAAATTGGGGTGACAACTGATGTCCATTTCAAGTGACCCGACCTTCAAAGCTTTGTAAATGACAATCGCGGACCCCTGTCATCTTGGAAGTGATTTACCCAAGTTATACCCAGTTAGAGTTGCTGTCTAGTTCATTAAGCTTTTTAAGCCTTACATTTCTGAAAACACAATATACCTTTAAAATGAACACAACATCCCTAACTCCAATAAAAAGGTCTGCTAAAAAACCACATATGCTTTCCTCTCCACATCCTGGGTCTCCTTTCATATCAGTGCTCACAGATGTTCTTCTCTCCCTTGAATTTTACACACTATTTTCAAAGCTACATTTTTTTTTTCTGTCCACTGTTCTTCATCTCTCCAGACCATGACCTGGGATCCAGCAGGTTTTCCACATCTATAAAGCTTTTGCCCTACTAAATTCTCAAGGATGACTTACCCAAAGAGTTCAGAAAACTTAGAAAGCCTATAGCTACACCGGACCAACAATTCTAGCAAAAAGAGCTTCTGCATTGCATCTATGTTACATAAAAATTTATATTTGATATATTGAACATCTATATAACAATATGTCATATATAATATACCATAGAATAGAATAGTTCCAGACGGAAAGGCCCTCCAACAATCCAACTGCAGTCCAACTGCTTGACCACTTCAGGCCACTTTAACCAAAAGTTAAAGCATGTTGTTAAGGGCATTGTCCAAATGTCTCTTAAACACGGACAGGCTTGGGGCATCGACCACATCTCTAGGAAGCCTGTTCCAATATTTGACCACCCTCTCAGTAAAGAAATGTTTCCTAACATCTAATCTTACATTTATTTATATAGGAATATTCATATAAAACAATTATATAATATTCTTATGAATTTTTGATATAAATCACTAATGTTTTATTACATCTTTTTAAAGCTTTCTCATCTTTCCTCATGAATTGTTACAAGTTAGTTTAATAGAGTACAACAGTCTGCAAACTCTAATGCATATTGAAAACCCCGAAAGGTTGGTGAAACAATAACCTATCAGAAATGCCTTCATTACCTATTAGTAACATGAATTACAACTTGCAAAAGTACAATTTTTACTCTATTTTCTATATGCCTCCCTGGACATCTAATGCTGGTAACTGTCCGAGGCAAAACTTTGATCCAGGCTTTGACACACAAATCACTCTGGGGTCTCTCTCTACAGATTTCGTTTATGACATGGGATAACTCGTATATTTTGAAACGATCATCTCGGTTCATAAATCAGAGACTAGTACCTGAAACATCATTTGATTAGATTTCATTTATTTCACAGTAATTTACAGAAGAATTTGAAACCAACAACAGTCTCTTGAGGTTAAGAGAAGTTTGACCAACTGATCTAACTGAAGAAGTGAAAATGACACATTTATGAACACTGAAAAAATCTCATAAGCACAAACTCACAAACTTGTACTTACACTTTCAACTCACGGCCGCTCGGATTGAAAGCAGCCTTTCCACAACAGAAAGCGGCTGCGTACCACTGCCATCTAAGCAGGTCACCAGCAGTATCTTAAGAGGTAAGCCTAACTTCACATATTCTCTTTGAAACCTCTTTTATCTATTCCCTTCTTTCAAGTAGCCTTATTTACTCAGACCAAAACTTATTCGAAAATTAAATTATTAAAATTATTGAAAAACTTAGGATAAAGTTGCCCAGCATGAGTTTCAGACCATAAACCCCATTAAGTTTGAGCATATTTCTTAAAATTTACCTGAGCAGAGAAGTCAATTAGTTTTGGAAGCAACAATTTACTTCCTTCATCACTCTTCAGAAAATCCAGCAAACTTCCTGTTACAACAGAGAAAGATTAAGTCAGTGCAGCTTATCCCCAAAATAAAGGTCACGCCAGGTCCCCAATTTTCTGGATCACAAAATTTTTGCAGTGAAGTGTTTTGATGTATTTTCAAGTTGACTACAGTAAGGCAGTCTCTTTACATGATTTAACAACAGTAACATCCAAGTCAGCATGTCAGGCATCCAAGTTTCGCCATTTTCCTGGGTGTCGAAAACTCCCATCAGACCATACCTTAGTTCATGGTGTTGAGTTCAATAAGTACCCCAGTTTGCGGACTATTAGGAAAGCTGTCTAGGAGAACCACACATATCAATCCTTTCCAAGTCATAAAGAATAAGTGGCTCAATACTTGTTTATGAAGTTATCAGCAGAATTACTTGAAAACAGAACAAAACAAGAAAAACTACCACCCAAGACAATCTGAGAAGGAAACCTCACTTATTTTGTGTAGTAATGCTCTAATAAAGGTTGTCCTTTTCTAGTAGTGCAGCCATCCTTGCAGGACCATTCATCACTCACTTTATTACACACGTATTTATCAATTCAAGGGCCACGTAAGGCAATTTCTAAGGTTTGTTTTAATTGCCTTGCTATGACACCAGACACAAAAGTTAGATAGGGAGCCCAAAGGAACCAGAGTTATTTTGGGGGTTATGCTCTGTGTCGGAAACAATTAAAAATGCTACATTTAAGAAAACCGTAAAAATAGTTTCTTTCACAAATGCAGCAATAAATCATAAAATGGAAGCCTCAACCCTTCTCTAGGATAGGTGCTCCTTCACTTTATATCAGAGCATTCAAAAGAATAACACTAAAATCCCAAGTTTTCCTTTTTTTATTCCTTCCTTTTTAAAGAAAGGGGACTGATTTATAAGAAGCAGGAGAATTTACTAAAATATTGCTTGCAGATCCAATGTTGTTCTCACCTTTAGCCATGAATTCTGTTATAATATAAATAGGTTCTTCTTTGGTCACTACAGCATAAAGCCTAACGAGCTTATCATGCTGAAGTGTTTTCATGAGGTTGGCTTCCTCCAGAAAGGCTTGCACAGACATCGTTCCAGGCTTCAGAGTCTTCACAGCCACTTTCGTACTGTTATGATAGTAACCTAAAAGGAGGGAATACAACCAGTGCACTTGAAGTCACTCCGCGTGGCACAGCGCCCCGACAAGCAGGAATTTGTAAAGCAGGTGAGGTTGGATTCCAGTCATAGTTAACAGCCTGAGAGCAAGTGCCAGATGTAGCACAAATATTTATGCTAGAATTCCTTTTTATTTTGCAACTGATACAACATTATCAAACCTTCTAATGTAATATTCTAATTATATAAAAAGCAACTATCAGTAAAGAGAAAAGCAGTAGAATTATTTTCTGCTTTAATGTTCTTCAAACATAAATGTTAAAATAGCATTAAAAAAAATACAGTAGCAAGCACTGATCCTAAAGTTTATCCTGTGAAGTCATTTAATTTGAAAAATAAAATAAATAAAAGAAAAAAGAGAGAGAGAAAGAAAGAGAGAGGGATATAAATGCAACTCTTGTCCCCCACCATACCCATTTCAACATTGCAAAAATATTTCTCGGAAGACATAAAACTTTCATGAGTCTCACTGAGTCATGAAATTTGATTTGATGTCATCAAATACATCATAAGGAAAATGAGGAAATAGCCTCATTTCCTTATTCAGCAACAATCCAGACAGTGCTACCACAATAGATACACCTCTAAATTGGAGTCCACAATTTCCTTATACTGTTTATCATCCTAACGTAAGAAATCAGTGGCAAAGCAAGGAACTAATTTCCAGATCTTAAGAGATTGCTCTAACCACTGCATCTTCTATCATCTTTTTTTAAAGAAGGATCATCACCTGAGAAAAGCCACTATGTCTATCACAAAATATTCACCTGCATGATTATTAAATATGTTTTTCCAAACATGGTAAGGTCAAAGCATAACAAAGACATGCCTCTAAATGATCTAATAATAAGAAATGACAACTGCAGGTCAAATCTGCTGTTAAAGCTCAGGTATACAATTTATATCTATCAGAAAAACAGATGTTAAAAATATATTTCTTCCTGCTTAAGAAGCAGAAAGCTCATTTGTATCGTTTCTACTATTCCATCCCATACCCTAAAGCAGAGCACTAGCTCCACTCCCAATTTGTTGAATACTCTGCTGAACATACTAATTAATATCTGTGAAGCAATTGTGACCAACACACTTAACATTAATGATGTAACAGTATTTTACATTCACTAAAGAGATCCATCCAATTAGGGTTCTACTTACAGAAAGTTTACGTTAGTACAACACCTCACCCACACGGATGTTTTCTACAGGAATACGGTCTACCCTGACCCTCTGCTGGTAACACACAAAGCGAATTAGCTGATGAGAGCACTAGAGAGAATTGATCCTGCTCTCTCTCAGGTATTGGGAGGGATGGGACACCAAAACACTGAGGAAAGGCGGTCATGAACTCTATGAGCACGCACAACAGCATCTGTAAAAAATGGATTCTTGGCAGTTTGGCAAAACTGGAATTTGTCACGTCTCTCGCCCACCCGTTATCAGCAAAACCAGTGCTAGTTTGATTTGGGCTGAGGACCACATCAGACCTGGAGCAGGCAGCATCTTTTTAGTATGTGTCTGTACCACCCCAGTTTAACAAGGTCCTAGTGCTGATGTCAGGTCACTTATCATTACCGTGAGAACCTCTGTGGTGGTTTCCAAAAAGATCGTCCGCTTTGCAGGCACACTCTTACTGTACAGGTAAGAAACTGCAGCCTTGGTGCAGGCGGAGGGAAAATCGGTGACCTCAAGGCGCTTCAGCTGGTGACAGCAAATTTAATGTCCAGTCTGCATCACAGAAGGATTCCAGTGACGCAGAGGCAGCTGTGGGAAGGGGTGGCTACAGCACCGCATCACTCCCGCTTCGTACAGTACCTGCAGCTCTGAATCCTTCGCTAACACCTGCCTTGGCTGAACTGAACCTGGCTCCAGGTGTAAACCCAGCACTTGCTGTGTCACGGTATTCCTTGCTATATGACATGAATGAACATATGGTCAGTTTGCTGCCTAAACATGAATTCAAAAAGATAGGTAAGCAATGAAACTCTTGCTTACATCTAGAACACCTGACATAAAATTCAGATTCTTTGCAACTAACATTCAGCTCAGTACATGTATGTACTGTAAAAATCCATTTTTGATACTGATGAAATGTACCAGCAAGTTTTCTTGGTTCATTTTAGATGCCTTTTATTTTAATAACAGTACTTCGGCGGTATGATTTACTATCATTTTTCTAACAGCTGCATAAGGAAATACATATCCAAATGCGTATTACTTATATTCTAATTTGGGGGTTACCAAATGAGAGAAACTTTTACACCTGAGATGCAAGCAAAATGTGTCTCATCAATAAAACACACTATAGTGGCTCCATTTGCCTTGTTAACTTTTCTCTTAGCCCTGCTTGAGAATTCTCTTTATGGATTATTAATACTAGAGAGCATCATGGTTCGCATCGTATCAGTGCATACTAGGAACAAAAATGCATAAAACATAGACCCTGCTCTTGCAGTGCTACTCTGGTTCATCACATCACTGAAGAAGCTGCCCAGATGCACTGAACTCCACGGTCAAAAAAACCTTTCATACCATGGTAGGAAGCAAGCCTCTCTGCAGTTTAGATTTCTGTTAAAAATTAAATGTGATGTAAGGAATAGTACGCAAGTCTGAGGAATGTGATGATGTCTTACACAGAGAGCCATGTTCTTCTCTACATGTTAGAATGGAATCCTCCAAAACCTGTTAGTGTTTCAGGTATTTATTTTGGAGTTGATTATGATTATTTTGACAGAGTAGTATCTTGGACAGCCAGGTTGCCCCCAGATTCTTGTGCTGGCTTAATCAGACTAAGCTGTGAAATGAATTTATAACAGACAATAATGAGGTTGAGCCTACCATTTCTGACCAGATCTCCAGGACTGAAGATGAAGAAGCCTACAAGATGCAGCTTTCTCCTTCCTCTACTTTCACAGTAATTCCCTGCAACGTTATATGTTATATATATGGGAAAAACTTGTTTGAGCTACAGAGGTATGACACTGTTAGAAGCCAGATAATGTCTCAGGCCGTTGCGATTGCAGGAGGTACTGGGGAAGAGACTGAGGAACAGCAGCTTCTCTGCATCCTATTGCATGTCAGCACATCACTCCTTCACCAACTACAGCCATCACTCAGCTGAAGAGCAGAGGAATGCAACACTAGCTCCGTCTCTAGCTCATCTCCAAACGGCCCATTAAATGCGAAGGCAGAAAGCACAGGCTGCAGCTTTCTAACCGCTTCCATGGTGCAGTGCATAAAATGTGAACACAACTCTGCCGTGCTGTTTTCATCTATCTTGTCAGCACAGCTGATGTCCAAAACACACATATAAACACTAACTTAGTAGCCTAAAAACAGAAAGTCTTTATAAAATGTATAAAATTACACATAGCTGTAATGAAGAAAGACATTAAATGCACTTGCAGTGATAGACAAAACTGGGAAATTGATGGTCCATTATAGCAAGTTTTCTCTGTGTAAAAGAAACTCTTCAGAGTTGGAGGAGATTCACCTGCCCACTTCGTAAGTGACAAAGATTCTCTGCACAGGTGACACAGGAGCACAGCCGAGTGCTTGGGGGATACGGGGGTCTGCTTTTTGTTCCTAAGGTTTTCTTAGTCCTCCCATAACATAAGCTAACTCCCTCCAAAATGTGCAAGAGGAAAACGTCAACTTGGAAGGCCAAAGAGTACTTATGGACAAACTAAAAATAAAAGACTATAAAAGATACACTGGCATATCTTCACGTTGCAGTAACAGCATTATCTCCCCGTATATCACAGAATCACGGAAGGGTTGAGGTTGGAAGGGACTTCTGGAGGGCTTCTGGTCCAACGCTCCTGATCAAGCAGGGCCACCTAGAGCCGGTTGTCCAGGACTGTGTCCAGCTGGCTTTTGAATATCTCTAAGGATGGAGACTCCATAACCTCTCTGGGCAACCTGTGCCAGGACTCGGTCACTCACACAGTGAAAAAGTGTTTCCTGATGTTCAGAGGGAACCTCCTGTGTTTCAGTTTGTGCCCATTGCCTCTGGTCCTGTCACTGGGCACCACTGAGAAGAGGCTGGCTCTGTCCTCTTTGCACCCTCCCTTCAGGTATTCATATACATTGATGAGATCCTCCCGAGCCTGCTCTTCTCCAGGCTGAACAGTCCCAGCTCTCTCAGCCTTTCCTCATAGGAGAGACGCTCCAGTCCCTTAACCATCTTTCTGGCCCTTCTCTGGACTCTCTCCAGTATCTCTGTATCTCTCTTTACGGGGGAGCCCAGTTCCTCTGAATGGGACACTATTCCCTCTGAAACCACAATTCTAAGTACCCTTTATCAGAAGAAATTTATTTATTTAGTAAGTAAACCATGGGACAATATTTCTCTCTCTCTAATTCACACTATGGCTGAAAAATAATTTTGTTCTGTATGAGGAGAGAGCGTAACAACTAGCTCTCTAATGGGGAGAGCGGAACAACTAGGTTATTTCTCAGTACCTCTAGATGACTCCTGATGCCCCTGGTTGATCATTACAATACACGGTGTTTGTTGATAGCCTGCACAGCTGACCTGATACGTCTTTTCCAGCTTGAACCTCCTTGGTTCTAAGATTAACCACGCTCCTGATTCGAGAGGACCTGCGCCATGCAAATCAGCTTCTCTCGCTTCAGAAACGAAGCAGAGAAGAGGAAACACAGCGATTGCTTTCACAGTACATTAATTTTTCTCACAGTGCAGCAATTCAGATGCAGGGGTTAGGCCCAATTTAGATGTTAAAATAATGACACAAACAAGAGGAAACATCTTGAACCAGAAACACCCTTTTAAAGTTTTATGCCTTTGTGCGTGTATGGGCAGAAGTAGTCACTTCCCAAAATTATCTACATTTTCAAGCAGGTGATTACCTTCTGCTACAAAGCCTTTCATAGCATTTCAGTGTCAGTTAAACATTTTTTTGCCCTGGTTTATGAGACAGAAAAAAACTGCACAATGGCTGACGCTTGTCTTAACTAGTATGTAAATTGTCACTCATGTATATCATAGCTAGAGGGTTTCTTAAGCCTTTTCTCATGAAGGCAGATAAAAGGCTGAATTTGGCTATTATGTTATATTATAGAGACGCGTTGCTTGCATTTTTTACATGATTCATATCAAAAGATTGCTCCTATGACTGAATTAGATCTTTCTGATTGACACTGTAGTTGTGTGTGGAATTTGCCATTCAAACAGCACCACTCTGTGCTTTACTTTTCTAAATGCGAACATCTCTTCCAAGCAATGACACTCCTGTTAGCCTGCCACACTCCCCTGGGTCGAGACCCCTTCACAGCTTTACGTCTTCTAATAAGTTTTTTCAATATACTTTTAAGTTGCTCAGAAATGCCCTGCCTATAGAATCTTGTTAAAAAAAAAAAAAACCCACAACAAAACCCGTTCTATTATTATAATAGCAATTTCATTACTATTTAAATATAACCTCCAAAAAGGAGATTCAGGGAAGGGTTGAGACAATAATCTGGCCTGAAGAAACACCATAATGAAGCCTTTGGGAGACAGGTATAGTTTATCTCAGATAAGATGGTAACCAGAAACAAGTGTGTAAGTAATGAATAGCACACAGAACATGCAATATGGAACCCAAAAGAATACTCAGATCCCTGAATAGACAGCATTTCAAAAGTAAGAGGATTAAATTTTTTTGCAGAATGTGATAGACAGCTGTCATAGCCCCTTGCCACAGGTAGTCACTGAGGCTGAGAAAATAAGATTGTTTATGAGCAAAGCTAATTACGGTTATAATAATTAACGCTGTAATTTTTTGCCAGATATATAGTAACATTTACAACTTGTAAGTCCTATGACACTTTCATTATTGGGGACCTGCATGATAGTTCAAGGTAGGGGGTGATCAATCTCTAATCTTCTTACTACATGAGTCACATGCTTTCTCAGCAGCAATCTGGGAGGCAATAATCTTGGATTAAATATTCCCCTTTTTCACCCAGTATGGCAGTCCCATGCATTATATTGCAGCCTCTTCTTTACCATGAGACAATGAAAACTCCATACATAATTCACTAAAAGACACGATTTCTTTCTATTTCAGGTTCTTTACCACTTTCTGATTTGAAACAAAGTTCTGAGATGCCCACTGATTTTGAGAATCAGGAGTCACATCTTACTATAACCTTCTACTTCCCCCACAAAACACAACCAAAAAAACCCCTATTGTCTTCAACCCTCTAAATTACAGTGCTTACTCACTATGTTTTTCTTCCTTTAAAAGACACCAGAGGATTTGTTCCATGATATCAGATATCTCTCCCCTTCGCAAATCCTCTCTCCTCACAAGAAGGTATATTCTGGGCCTGACTGTGCTGTTTTACAAGTATATCGGACCAGGTTCATGTCCACTATTATTCTGAATGACTCTGAAATGACACCTCTTTCAGCAGATTTAAATACTCTTTCCAAAGAAATAAACTTACCCATCCAGACTTCTCCAAACTGACCAGCTCCAAGTTTCTTCACTAATTTAATTGATTCCCGTGGAATTTCCCAGGCGTCTTTATCCCATGGTTTTTGAGGCTTGGGACTAATACAAGCTTTTTCCAACTTTCTGCATAAGCCATCTGATTGCTCTGGTTTTCAAAGGAAAAACAAAATACAAAATCTGTTACCTCACGACTTGAGACAAACGTTACTTAATTACAGATGTGCACTAACCAGCTCAAAATAATTTTCAAAATAATCGGGTGTTTTGATGAAAATGTAACCTTTCTGGTGCTTTCACATAACTTTAAGCACCTCTGAACTGAAATTTGGTATTCAGAGACAAATTTAATAAAGAACTGTCACATGCATCTTGTTACCATCAGATTATTAAGGTTCTTTTAGTACAATTCGTACCAACTAAATAAAATATAAGATCTGCTTACTGACAGTACGTTGATGAAGATGCACACTGGAGTCAGGCTTGGAACCTGTGTTCTGAATTTGTCATTAAATTTTCTTGTAGCATTGTTTCAGACACATGTGCATGCGAGCATAAGTAGGTCACCATTATTTTTTTTCTCCAGACACTGACCAGCTACAACTTTAATACAGAGGTAGAATAATTCTCAGGTTTTCCAGCTGTGCCAAAGAACTACCACACATGTCTAACAACTCAGAGAAACGTCATGGCCAAGTCCTCAGCGTGGCTTTGAAAAATCACTATGCGATTTTCTGTCCTACATTTTTTGTCCTCTCTGTTTTCCCAGTTACAAGACTAAAACCCACGTATTTTGGAGCTATCCACCAGGAAGTTACACAGAATGAAAAGTCACTTTTGTAGCTAAAGCATAGGTAGAAACTTGTCCCTTCCTCCCCCCTTCCCCCTCCCC